TGGCATCAATTTTTTATGTCACACTTGTAGGATATTCACTGGAATGGCTCGAGACTATTTACTAGTCATTCATAGGATCTCATAGCTCAAGACATCCATATAGCCCCCCTGGTGTCTGTTTGGGGCATAAAGTCAGAGTTTTTGATGATTCTACCTTTCCAGAGAATCCACCTTTAGATAGACTCATTCAGAAGTTGAGACATGTTCAACATCCAATCTTGTGTTTATATATAATGTTGTATCCATTCAGAGCCTCTCGTGGTTAAAGAAACCCATCGAGGCTTTCCGTGGGTGTTTCCAGAAATATTAGGGTTTAGAACGTCGTACCCGTGAGTTGATTTGGGGCCCCTGACGGAGTCGGATTCCTTGTTGTAATGCCATCAAAAATATTTTTGTATGAGGTTGTGAGACTTTATTTTAGTCATATTTGATTCTTCATTGCTTTCAAACCAAAATAATCCTTCGAGGGACATTTTCGGTGAAATCGGGGATTTTTCGGGGCTAGATTGATGTCTGGGTGCCAGCCCTAGCACTCAGAACAGCCCCCACGAGGCTTAAAATAGAGAAGACAACAACCCAACGTTTTGGCACCTAGGCACCCATAAAAGCCTAAAATGGTCCTCAAATCGAGTCGATGGAAATTCAGAGCCAGAAGTCCAGCGCCTAGGTGCCACTGGTGCCCCAACGCCACTCCATAGCGCCTAGGCAACAAAAGCTACTCTGAAACATCGCAAAGTGAACTCAAAATTGAGCCCCCCCAGAAACTCGGTGCCTAAGCGCTAAGGACTAGCTTCAGAGCATCAGGTTCATCGCCAAGGAACTAGGTTCGTGGCACCTACGCGCCAGGACATTTTTTCCCCTAGTGTTATCCCATGATTTTTGTAGCACACCTCCATAGGTAGCCGAAATGACAGGATTTCTTGCCTAATTTCAATATTTTCCTAAGGGGGAGATAAAGGGCTGATTAAACCCTTCTTTGAAGGGTCTAAGATGAGGTGACAAAGCCATTTTTGGCAAAATTAGGGGGAAATTTTGAGTTGGTTGGGGATAACTTAAGCTAAGCTCATTTTCCTTCCATATTCCTTTCATTATTTTTCAGACTTTGAGCAAGTTAGAAGCAAGATAGGGGATCACTTGAGTCTTTCATCTTCCTCTTGGAGAGCTTGGGAGCAAAGAGACTTGGAGGAAAATCCATCATCTTCCTCAAGAAGAAGGCGGACAAGTTGGTATTCTCCCAACTTTTTCTTTATGTTCTTCTTTCTTCCACATCTCCTTCATATTTCTCCACCACTTTCCTTGAGTGTTTGAGGAGATTTTCTTAGGGAGGAGCTGTGAAAATGAGGTAGTGATGCATCAACTCTCCTATGTCGAAGGAGAGCTTCTTCACACTTTGAGGAAAGACCATCAGAACGTCACTGGAGCTTGGAAATCCGCCAGAATCTTGTCAGACTCTCTTCTTAGAGGAGAGTTTCTTCATCCTTTGCAGAAGGAGCGGAGAAAACTTCACCGGAACTTCAGCAGAGCCAGAACAACTAAAGAGAGCACTTCAATCAACCATCATGAAGATGAAACTCTACTAAACGATCACGTTTTTCATTCTTAGGGACTCCACGTCTGGATATTAGAGGAATTAAGGTTAGGTTTTTTTGTGCTTAGAGGAAACTCCATAGGATTAGGTGTTTTGTGATTACCATACGAATCCAAGAGTAAAACTTACCTTTTTTGCTTTCTTAGACAAAAAAATTTAAAAGATGGGGTTGTACTAATCTCGTCATTTGCTTCGGGAATTTCATCAAAATGGACATTTGAAATCCACAGACCGAGAAGAAAAAAGAATTTCTTTGGTTGTCAATCTCTCAGTCACGGAGAATCCTTCTTGTGAGAGATTCCTTACTTTTTGTCATGCAAATGGAGGTGGATGTCTTGTTACTTCGTGTAAAAAGGTGTTGGTACACCTCTCCATTGCTTGTCTACCCTTAGATTCCTTTGAGATCGCGCTCGATTTCGTCATCAAAACTGATTGTGCCTCTTGTTATGCATGTTTTGGCATTCATATGATTGTGCACATGACATGATTTTAAAAGTGCATAAAAATTTCTCATTTTTTGCTTGCGTTGTTGATAGGTCGCTCATGCCGCTCTGATCGACCTATTTTTTCTACTTTGCAGATTGATTGCAACTATTTCAATCAACCTTTTTTTTGTCATTTAGCAACCCACATCTGCCCGATTGATCACTTTTGTTGGCTCAATTGATCAACCGCCACTAGTCCAATCAGTTTGACCGAGCCTTTTTCCCGTCGACTGACCACCCACGCCATTCCGATTGACCACTTTTTCGACTTGACCGATAAAACACCACCGATTTGATTGGTTCGATCGATCCTTTCTTGTCCTTCAGCTACCCACGCCTTGACCGATAAAACACCACCGATTTGATTGGTTCGATCGATCCTTTCTTGTCCTTCAGCTACCCACGCTGGTCTGATCCCACTTTGATCGGTTCGACTGATCGACTTTCACCAGTCTGATTTGTGTCATCGCACACTTATCTCACACATTCACACATCATGCGAGCAGATGGCTTGCAACCAAGCATATCTGGTGTGCAGTTCTCTCTAATGAGAATTGCATGTTTCTTTTTCACTTTATACGACACCACTCTAGGATATTGTGCTCTTCACACACTCACTTCTGACACTCATGTGGCTTCTCCAAGTCACTGCCTCCTATGCACACTCACCCCCGAGTCACTGCTTCCTCGACACACTCACGCCTGTGTCACTGCCTCTTCGGCACACTCACTCTCACTTGTGTTGTATATTACTGCACTTGTGGCACATTAATCAATGGTATACACCACCATTTACAATTGATGAATGTTTGCTATCTCGAGATAGCACCCTACACTGTCATAATATGTTGGATCGTGTTGCATTTATATGTGCTCTCCAATCGTCTTGATGATGAAATTGGGGCTGAGAGACCCTCTACTGGTCAAGATGTGGCAGCTAGTATTGCCCATGAGGATGTTTCAAAGGGTCTAATAGGTGTCACTTAGACTTTCGATTTCTTAGGAACTATTTTAAAGGTATAAAATTTATGTTTTTGCTACTTATATGTATCATGCTTTCAAAATCTATTTTGAAATTATTGCATCCTTAGCTTAGATAGTATATAAGTTCAGTCTTTTAAAACTTACTTTTTTCATAAAACTTGTATCTAGTGACGCCTCTTAGACTCCTTGGATCATTAGGATGGAGTCGAAGACGGTGGCCTCGTCAAAACATATGCCAGCCTTCCAACTTAACCCTACACTCAATTAGATGTTGTGATAGTACACTATACATTAGATGGTTTGCTAGACAAGAACTAGGATGCTAGGTAGTCTTTTTCAATGTCCTAGCTATAGTTCTTTGTTGGTTTGGTTGCTCTTGTTAGACATCAATTTTGTGTTGCTTTGTGTGTTTATTGGGTTTGAGATGTGTTCACTAGTATATTAAGGGCGATCTTTTTGTAGAGAGTCATATGCAACAGGGAGGAGTTGTAATGATTTATCTAATCTTATTTTTTCTTAAGTGTTGTTAGATCTCCTCCTACTGGGCATGGCTCACGACATTGGATGTAGGTAGCTTTATACTAACCTTATTTTCATGCAGACCGAGTCCTTTTTTTTCTTGCTTTCCTATGTACTTTTTAGACTCCCTAGGAGAGTTTGTACTAGAAATAAGGTACACTCACAGGTTGTGAGGCGTCAGACGTGTTGAATCATGTGATAGGGACCAAGAGCTGTTTGTTCATGTCCCATACCTTACTTCTAAATTTCTTTGATTTATAGAATTAAGACCGTGGGTGTACTTATGTGGTGTCTGAACGCCTCAACCTTTCTTATTCTTTTGATTTGTCTTGCTTTACTTCTCTGCTTCTTGCATGTGATTGTCATCTTCGCCCTTTTTATCTTGTGGATTGTCTAAGAGTCGTGTGAATCACTTAAGTTCTTTAGGACCCAAAAATTTATAAAGTTTCTACAAAATCCAAACAAAAATTTAAATTATTAAAATTTAGGATTAAAACATTTAAGATTATTCAAAATATGTTTTTACTTTTTGCAAGACCTTCAGGCTAGATTTTAAATGGGTTCCATAGCATGGCTTTCGCCCAAGTCATACTTAATAGAGCCTCCACGTTTAAGACTTATTAGACAATTACATCATACTTTCATGTCCTGATGAGATGTCTCTGTGCTTCTCAAACCTGACAGATCCAACATTGATTTCTACTTGGGTAGTTGTCTAGTGCATTTAGGGTAGTAGATGCTTCCCCAACCCTAGAACAGAGAGTAAGTCCTTTGTTGAGAGTGTTTTCAGCTTTGTAGCTAGACATCTCCTCTCTTTTCCACTCTCGCGGCATGCTCGCCACTTTGATGAGTACAAGTCTCACATATGCTCTTTCCACCTACATAGGGTCATAGGATTAGAGTTTTCGTCTCTCACAGAAGTCTCCTTCCATACGTCAAATGAGCTTACTTATTTTAGGCAAAGATTGCTCTAGCACATTTTTTTTTCAGAAGTTGTTTTTCCTAATGCCTTGGTGCTGCTAAATGTGGCTC